ATGGCACTCTTCAAACACTTTAATTGGTCCCAGTGTGCCAAAATAGATGCAGTAAGTCAGCGATTCGACCCACATCTGCTCTGCAGCTTTCAGGACAATGCAGTCGAGATCAGCTCTGTCTCGCTGACTGACAGAGCTGATCTCTGCGTACTTCAGGATGCAGCTTGTAACTGGAATGTATGATTGTAGGATATTCAGGGGAAATGTGTTTGCATTGCTGCAGCTTGTGAACCCTTTAGAGCATTTATCTGTACTAGCCGATATGTTTACATGAGCTTTATAGAGACAGTGTTTGATGAGTAATGTGAGTTACTCATCAACTGTGTTAAGATGTAAAGAGTTTAGGCTATTAAAGATGGGATGTCTGCATTCATTTTGGCTTATGCATCCTAGAAACAAGGGACCAATACACAATGCAGTGTGTGTCCCTCTTGTTTCATTCTTGTGTCAAATATTTTATGCACTTTTAATAGAGCTTCCTATAAGAATGTTGTGTTGATGTTTGATATGCCCACTGTTAATTATATCATTGTATTATTATGAAGAGCCTTATTTCCCAGTTACTAACTCCATGGCTTCCATGATATTTTGGTTATATTGAGAATGAAGTAAACGGGACCTACTTTGCTTTTTTTCTTATTTAGTTTTAAATATATATAGCCCTCTTTCCATTAGTGCCTACTCGTGTCGTCTCGCTACTATTTACTGGGTTTTCCATTAGGTGGTAGTACCTGGTACCAGGTACTGGCTCTATTTTTTTTTTTTTTTTTTTAGCACCTACTCGTTCAGGGTTCCAAGCGATCCTGGGCTATCTAAAAATGTGACATCAACAAACTGCATGCCACCTATTGGCTCGTCAGTGGCGTCACTCAATGAGTCATTAGAGCGTCCCCCTCAGGAAAATCAAAACTGCCACTTTTAAAACCCGGCAACAAGGAAAATGGGTTCAAAAAGCAACGCTGTGGTCCCAGAGTCTGGAAAAAAGCCACAGACCAAGCAGAAGGTATATCGTTGCCTCGACGTCCACCTTTGTGGTTCTTATCCTGTGAAGAGTGCTATATAAATAAAGTAAAGTAGGTGGTACTCGATTGTAATGGGGAAAAAAACGATTTGAGGCGAGTCGTGCTGTTTTGAGCCGAGACGAACCGAATAGGTACTAATGGAAAAAGGGCTTTTGTGACAGGAAATTCATATTAAATGGAATTCTTATTAAAAAACTTTAACACAGGAGAAAAACTTCTGTGAAAGTAGTCTAGTAGGCACTAACAGTACAGCTCGCAAAGCATTCAGTGCTACCCCTCAGCAGGCTTCCCGATACTGGCCTATTCAAAGAAAGTGGACTTTCGGGTGAGGGTGCTCTTAGGTCTCAATCACGCAGGCTTAGAGAACAGTTGCCACTGCCTGGTAACCACAGTTCACTAGGGAAAAATTAGGGTTCCCTAACTAACTGCGAGTGCTTGTTGGCAGTCGCAAGTGGAAATTGATTGTTAACCTTGTTCATGCAGTCATACTGATGGCTAGTTACCCCCTAATTGGAAGGGGAAAGGGTGTATTCTCTAACCAGTTGGTGATTGGTTGCTGGGGGTTGCTTGTTGTTGCTAGGTTGTAAAGTATATAGTGCCCTACCGAAAACCTCCTTGTCATTGCTTTGGTTCTGAGCAGATTGTAACTTTTCATGTTTCATTCAAACCAGAAACTCAGAAAAGCCTTCAAAGTAAAAGTTGTTGGTTTCAGTTTTAAAACTACGGTTGCACTAGGGATAAGGTTACAGACTGTAGCACAGCCAAAATTATGACAACTGTGGGCATTGAACTTGCAGTGGCTAGTTGAGGACTGGGAAGCTACATCCAGATGAACAGAGTCAGCTGTCTGGACTTTTCTTACCTGGATGACTGAGCATGGAACGAGGACAGACCAAAGCAATCGCAGAGAGGATTTTGTTGCAGCGCCCTCTCTGCAACTGACTTCACGCAATGATAGCCAGCAACCTCATCAAATATGTCAAGAAATAGATGATTTTCCCTTGAAACTTGTCAGGGGTTGCTGACCAGTCTCTAGGCCTGTGTGACTGTAGCCTTAAAGAGAAAGTTAGGGACAGAAGATAAACTGAGGGTTGCATGAGGCACCTCTGTGAAATATTAAGTATATCTGAACTGTGAGCCGTCCATAGCTACTCTAATACAGTGCCCCA